AAATTTGAAAACTCGCTCCTTAAGTCGTTCCTTTTCAAAACCTGTACTCGTGCAATAAAGCTTAACATTATAAACTAATTGCATAAACTACTATTACGGCTCAATAATCTAACCCTCGTTTTTTTTTTCATACTAAGATTTTCGACTTAAGAACGTTAACCCCGTGACCACAGAATTAAATAAATAATTATATATAATTTCAAAGATATTTATGTGTATGGAAATGGAAGCCCCCTCCCGCCGCGAAACACTTGTCGGATCCGCGCGCCTCGCGGAAGGCGATCGCTGTGGGGCGCGCGCGCGTCGCTTTCTCGCCGCGCCCCTCGCGGCGCGGAGTCTTCTGCCGCGCCTTTCGCCCTGGAGCGGCGCCAGAGCTGCAGCGCAGGCTTTTGTTCTCGTTCCAGTTGGCGATGGGGCGCAGCGGCTACACCTGCGTGCGCCATGTCTTCTGCACGCTCAACGTCCTCATGTGGGTGAGTAAACACCTCGGCCGCTCGCTCGAGCTGAGCTGCACTGCGCTGTGGGCGGCAACTGTTGACGCGAGGGGGGGGGTTGGTTGGTTGGTTGATGTTTCCGGGCACGTCAACAGAGAAGGTGGTTTGTCCCGTAAATGTAGTGCATGTTTTTCCCTCCGTAGGCTGCTGTGATCTTGCCTCGCAGGATGGTGAGATCAGGCGCCGACCTACAAATCAATTAGCGCAGTTTTCCCCCACCAGGTATCTCCCATCGGCGGGGCATCGCCCCAGCCGAGACAAGCTCGAAGCTCCCGACATGTGTGGTAGTGTAGTAATGCATGTAAGTGTACGTGAGTGTCAGTAAGGGGTAAGGAAAAGACAAGGAAGAGGAAGGAAAGATCGCGCGCGCGGTTCGAGGTCCTCTTGTTGCGGTACTTCTGCGGCAGCTGGAATTCTTTTCCAGACAGCGACTGAATTCGACCTAGTTATCTAGCTAGCGTCGTAAATTTTCCCACCGTCAAACCTTACAACCTTCCAGTCAGATGGACTAGAGTTGGTGCCCTGAGCCACCTAAGCCGGTACCAGGGTTTTTAGATGTGTATGACCCTGACGTATTGGTACAAGGTGAGAGTTGGCGGCAGTGAGGAGTGTCACCAAATGATGGTTCCCTCTTGTAGGTGCGCTATGATTCTTTAATTATTTTATCACACGCCTTAGATTTTCAATGTTGTTTGCTAATTTTAATTATCGTTCAAGTTTATATATTTTACGTGCCAACCTATGTATTTCTTGTTGCTACTACTTAGAATGCCATTTGTTTTTCTTGGAATCTCAGCTAAGAAATTGATTGTATGGATTATTTTTCCATGTTCTGTTCATCAATCAATCAATAACTAACCCTTTTCATTTGCCAACTGCGGTTTAAAAGTCAATACGTAACCTCTCAGTTTGCATTGCTAAATTATTCCAAAACGTAAATGAAATATTCATATCGCTTCCCGGGTTCTGGTATTTGTCACCTCCAAATCGAATCTGCAGGTCAACGTTTTAGAGGCAGTTGGTGGTGTGGTCGTAGCGTGACTAGAACGAAGAACTTGAGGAAACGAAGATGAAGTTTTGCCTTGTTCTAATCGGTACTTTTCCGTAGTTTCTCCGATGAACACCAGGCGAATGCCGGAACAGTACGCCAGCAAACGAGCCATGGACATCGCGCGATCTGACTTTCCTCTTTCTTGTGCTATCCTCATCTTTATTTAAACACACTTACACTTGCGCTTAAATGCACTACTTGCACTACCACACATATCGGGAGACCTGTCAGGGGTTTTGAGCTTCTCCCGACTGGGGCGGTGCCCTGCGGAGGGGAGATACCTGGTTGGGGAGATCTCCGCTAGCCGACGTGTAGGTGGACGCCGGATATCGCCGTCCAGCGAGGGAAGATCACCACAACATCACGTGATATAATATGCACTATACTTACGGTTAGCAGTTGTCGAATATCCATCATTCGTCACGATGATTGAGTACTACCAATGCATATGTTCTGATGAAATTTGTACGTAAATTGTGATGTACTAAAGTGACTACAAAAGAGAAAACAAAGTTTTGCAAAATTAAAATGAAGAAAGAATTTCTTGCGATTGTAGGATTGATGCATGTAAGTGCGTATTTCTTGTTAGAAAACCTGTTCGCGTGTTCATTAAGATGCTCATATCGTACGATGTCATTTCAACCAGAGGCACAGGGGATTCCGGGAAGCGGGAATTCCTGTGAAAAAAAGTTAATTCAAATCTGCTACACATTTTACGTGCGCCGCATGCTGCGAGCATGAAAACTGCGAGTAAGGTCTTCTCAGTGAACTTGAGATTCAAAGAGAAGAGTAATATTTCATGTTCCACGTATTTGAAAAGAAAGTTGACAAGGTTACAGCTAGTACAATTCATTTGCGTCTTGTTCCTAATAAATGCAGAAAATGGTGTATCCATGATATTGTATTTGCATCACTCAACGTTTTCCACTTGATGCTAACTCAATACCTACTCTTTTTTTAAATGCATGATTTCTTTTCAATATCTAAATCTGAGAGATAAATTGTATTGGGAAGGACTTTTCTGTCTTTAGTATTGGAGGAGAAGGGCAGGTTCGAAAAATTAGTTTAAACATTATAAAAATGATACATGTTTTAATGAAAGTTATAACTACACCGTACTAAATGCACATTCATCTGTTCAAAAAAAACACGAAAAGAAAATAAACAAATTGCAGAATTTTTCAGAAAATTTTGTACCAACAGAGATTTATTCTGACGGTGTGCGAAGCGAGGCCGAAAATTAAACATCATATTGCCGAGATGATTGGGATACTTTTCCTCCTAGGAAGCAGTACATTAATAGCCGTAGTCTACCTCAAATTTGATTATATTCCTCGCTGAGCTTTCGCAATATCCTTTCACGCAGACCTGTTTTAGAAGAATTCCGAAAAAGTATCTTTCTGGGCTTCTTCTTCCGGGAAGGTCTTCGTGCTTATAGATCTCCTGCAGTAATGAGACAGTAGATCGATCAGCAGAGCCAACGCGTCAGGTTTTGCAGCGACGTCCGCTCGCATTGCGGCCCCCCGCTGCAGTTCGCAGGGGGGCAGGATGGAGGGAGGCGGGGCGTCGAGTGGCTGTGCAACGTCGCTTCCGTGATGTTACGCCGCCGCTATCGGCTTCGCAAACTTTACCTCCAACGAATGTACCTCACTCACTATCCACCGCATGTTAGCATTCCATGTGAAACATGGAGAAATTCATGGACCGTCATTGGTTAGCGACTAAAAATCGTCGGGCGCAGCAGATGTGAATTTAAAAAGCACCTAATTATATAAAATGTCTTACTTATGGACTGATGCCCGTAACACGCATAATCTTAATTTGCAGTGCTCTCCAGGACACATTTATGCAAAAAAATGTGGCGATAAGGATTCGAGCCCGCGTTCATCGAGACATAATGTTGACACGCTGTCATTTTGCCACTAATTGCAACAAATAGTATACACAGAGTGTACTAAATCTATAGCGCCTGCGATCAAGACGTCAGAAGTGTCAGATGATGGTATTGCGACCTACCAGTGACGTGCCACAATTTTTTTGAGATTCAAGAAAACGGTACTGCGATTGTGTGTCCCCGATGTCGTCACCAGGAGATACGCCAGTGCCGTTGCTGCGGCCTCTAGCGATGCTAGCATAGTTTCCAATCCTTACATCATCAAAAATGACATCTATCGCCGCCACACACCCACACCGTATCCGACACCTTTACCTAGGGAGAAATTTGGCATTTTTCTGCAAGGGAGGACGTTCAAAATTCCAAAGCGAAAAGGGGTCGGTGAATCAACAAATTTGTGCCGCGAAAACGTCTTAGCTTTCTCGGCACAATTTGAATCAATCCTATGAAAGCTCATGGGAAACTTCTTCATTTTTTTTTATTTGGAAATTTTGAAGTCTGGGAATCATAAAGTAATTTTGTTCCTGGCTGGGACAAATTAATGCTTATCCAAAGTAGGACACCAAACTATCTTGTGGATGACGATATCCCTCAACCCTCTGTTAAAACGCACTCTGCCTACATCGCGCCTACGCACCTTTCGTCGCTGCCTTCCGTCACCAGCGCTGACGCCAGCATCACCAATCACCAGCATCACCAGAAAAATGCCACCTCTACCGCTGCTGCCCTTCAACCGCCACAGGCGCACCACCCTCATCGGCACAGACTTGCTGTCACCAACAACGCTGCAAGAGTCGCAAACGTCAGTACCCAGAATGTCACTGTTCTGATTTCGTTCTCGGTTCAGTAAACGTCCTTTCCCTTGTGGTTTCTTCTATCGTTCCCATTTCCGCATCCATTTACGAGTATGTGTCCACTCCGGACCCGTCTTTATTTCCGTCACAATATATAATGGTGTTCTTACCCGCACCCATTCCATTCCCCGCCCCGCCCGCGCCTTTCCCTGTGTCTCGACACTCCTCTGCCTCAACCTTGCTTCCTGTCTGATTGCTGCCCACTTCACGACGGGGATCATCCCTGTCTACTGTCTGCGTCAGCCTTTCTCGCTGTCACTGCAACCCTCGTTGTCGTCCTTAGAGTAGTCACCGATATCATCTTAGTAGTCGTTATTTTCGACGTCTTCGTCGAAATTATCCTCGACATCGTCATTTATTGCCAGTCACCGTCGTAATCATCGTAATCGTCACCGTCGTAATCATCGTAATCGTCACTGTAGTTCATTGCCATCGTCACTGTAGTTCATTACCATTGTCACTGTAGTTCATTGCCATCGTCACTGTAGTTCATTGCCATCGTCACTGTAGTTCATTGCCATCGTCACTGTAGTTCATTGCCGTCGTCACTGTAGTTCATTGCCATCGTCACTGTAGTTCATTGCCGTCGTCACTGTAGTTCATTGCCGTCGTCACTGTAGTCTATTGCCGTCGTCACTGTAGTCTATTGCCATCGTCACTGTAGTCTATTGCCGTCGTCATTGTCATTCAATGCCGTCGTCTTTTTCATTCAATGCCATCGTCATAGTTGTCAGAGGCGCTGCAGCCGCCGGGCCTCTGCCGGTGCCGCCTCGACCGTGGCTTAACCTGTTTGCCGCTCCACTTGCAGGGTGTCCCCGCGACTTGCATCCTGCATGCCGCCCGCCTGCCCGTCCGCCCGCCCGCTCGCTGCCGCCGCGTTGGAGACTAATGGTGGCGGGTTCGGCTGCAAGGCCAGGACACGACAAGAAGACACGTTCTGCCCACGAAAAACATCTTGCACCGCTGCTTCCAGAAAAAATACGTCGGCTCAACGAATCGGTGTATTGAAACATCAATCTGACACCAGTTGGCAAAAAGACTCGGAAACCGTGCTAACGTAAAAATATGGAAAATCTGAAAATTGAAATTTACACACAAAAGTGTTAGTAACGAAACTGTAGGAAAGTCGTGAGAAAAAAAACGAAATCAATTTGATTTGGTACGACAATATCACGTGTGT